AGATTAAAAAAATAGGAAAATTATGTTAACTTATTAGAAATTAGAAATGAAAAGAAAAGACTATTTGAATTTAAGATTAGAAAGTTCTTAAAACTATGATGCGAATGCTCAAATTATGAATAATACCACGAAATTGAAGTCTTATTTATGAAAAATAAAATAATAATAAAAAATAAAATTTTAAATTACAAAAGAAATTTCTAATATAGGTAATTTTACAAAAATTAAATTTGTATCTTAAAACTAAGAAAGAAAAAAAATTATGTAAAGAAGTAAAATGACAGTGAAAATATTACTACAAGATTTAGATATAATATGTTCAAACAATTAAGAAAATATTTTTCTGTGATTAGTGTCTGAATCGAGTGTAGTTAATTTGAGTTTGAATGCATATCATAATTATTTGAAAATGCGGTTCAGTTTAGAAAATAAAATGATAAGAATATTTGAGTTTGAGATGAGATTTTTCTTTGAAAATATTAAGTAAAGAATTAAAATGACAGTAAAAATATTATTACAATATTTAGAAATAATGTGATAAAAAATTAAGAATTTTTTTTCTATGATTAAATAAATTTTTAAAAATACAAAATAAATTTCTAATATTGGTAATTTTAATAATGAAAATTAAAAATTAAATTTTATCTTGTAGCTAAAAAAGAACAAAATTTAACTGCATCTAATACAAAATTAATTATAAGAGAACTCAATACATTTGGAAATGATAATCAAATAACTTATGTATTAATATTTTAAACTTATGATTAATATCTGAATCGAGTGCAGTTAGTTTGAATTTGAATGCATAGCATAATTTTTTGAAAATGTGGTCCTGTTTAGAAAATAAAATGATAAGAATTATTTGAGTTTGAGATGATTTTTTTTTAAAAAAAAATATTATTTAAAGAATTAAAATGATAGTAAAAATATTATTACAATATTTAGAAATAATGTGTTCATAAAATTAAGAATTTTTTTCTATGATTAAATAAATTTTTAAAAATACAAAATAAATTTCTAATATTGGTAATCTTAATAATCAAAATTAAATTTTATCTTATAGCTAAAAAAGAAAGAAAATTTAACTACATCTAATAAAAAACTTTAACTACATCTAATACAAAATTAATTATAAGAGAACTCAATACATTTGGAACATGATAATCAAATAACTTATGTATTAATATTTTAGACTAATTAAAAGTTACAATTTAAAACAAAATATGATATAATTTTGGTTATAGGTAAAATATTAATATAAAACTAATTAATATTTATAGTAGGAAAGAGAATGTATACTAAAAAGAATATAGAGGTAGTGTGAGGATACTTATACTTTAAATTAATTTTAACATAGATAAAATAAAATAATTAATTATATTTAAAAATATTACTGACAAATTTAAATGATTAAAATATTATGAATAAGAGGATAAAGACATAAAAATATATCAAATTTCGAGAATAAAACATTTATTTTTATCACATACTATTAAAAGGATAATAAGCAAGACATTAATTTAATTATAAGCTAACAAAAAATTATATGATGGTATAATAATGTGAAATATTAAATAATACAATAACTATAATAGAAGAACAAAAAAAAAGAATTTACGTAAAAAATGATGTGATGAATAAGACATATTTGACTTCCTGATAAAAATAAAGTGATCGTAAGAATTTTGTTAAAATAATATGATATAATGTGCTCGAACAAGACAGATCAAAATATGACATGTTTAGAATTTTTTAATATCGACAACGAAACGAAATGCAAGTACTAAAATCAAGGGGTTAGGTTGCTACAAATATATGTTAAAAAGATTGGTTGTCTACTACGAGATTTGATCAATAATTTCATATCATCTTCTTAATTAAATTCTCATGTTATATAATTTTTATCTGAGAGATATATATTTTAAGGTTATTTGTACATGATTCAAATAACATACATCGCAATTTGAAATGATTTGTCCGCGCATCGCGCTGATACTAATACTAGTTTTACTCTTAATGAGAAACTTTTATAACCAAACAAATGTTATGACTTCACAAAGCTTTACCCCTTAAGCTTTTAAAACCACATGTTTTAAATGTTTTTTTTTTTTAAAACTCTGTGCCGAGTTAAACTATATCTCATGTAAATTGAAACGGAAGATTCAAGTGGATGTCCGAATTGCTTCTTCCAAATGAATTACATGACTCTCCCTAACTGCATTTAGATAAAAAGAATATTAGCTTTTAGAGGGTGGATTCTTTATCTAAGTTTATTTAGAGTCGCTATTGTTATCATAGTTAGTAAGGTAAGAATTTCTTGAAAAAACCATCGAATTGAGAGGACGATCCTCCTGGTAAACTGATTGTATCCCACACTGACACATATGTTTGATTAGCCACCATCATTTGACTTAAAAAGTCGACATCTTGGTAAGAAGAAACACAATGGACAAATATTTGGTGAGTGAAATATGATTTAGAAACACATTTGACTTCGGCTACAAAATTTGATGTGAGTCATCTACTCCAATCTTTGGAATAAACACCTTGATGATCCGTGCTTGTGGGCTAGACAAATTATCCGATGAACTAGTAAAAGTGGACAATCTGACAAGTTCAAAATTAACAAGCAAGCCTACATATCTTGTCATCCAAAAGAAGAGGCTAAAATTAGAGAATCACATACTGTCGATTTAAGCTGGAATTACACTGGATTTATTGTTGTTGTTATTGTTGTATTGTTGATTTAAGCTAGCTTTGCTGAGGTCATATTGAGGCATATTAGAACACCACCGGTGACCCCAATAATGAAATCAGAAATTTCACTAAAGAGTATCAAAATATAAAGAAGTAAATATTCAAAGAAATTAAGAGGATATATAAATCGAAATTTTAACAGATCAAGCTAAATCCAAAATTCGAAATATTACAATACAACTCTTGGAATTCTAGGAGTCTATCAGGATTGCTTAAAAGCTACTCTAACAAAACACCAACTTGGAGGCTACTCTACCCTAACCCTAGGTCACTCCTATAACAAGGGTTACATGATCCAACAACAACAACAACAACGACCCAGTATAATCCCACAAATGGGGTCTGGGGAGAGTAATATGTACGCAGACCTTACCCCTACCCCAAAGGGTAGAGAGGCTGTTTCCAGGACGTGATCCCTTAAAAAATATTTCAAAAATTGAGATCGTCTCGAAAATCTCATAAACTCTTTGGAATATTTACTAAGAGATCAAAATATGGCCTGATACTTCTTGACAATCAAATAGTTCAAGAAGATGGAGATCAAATACATTCCCAGCATCATCTTACATTCGAGAAATACGCTGCTTCAAGCTTGAATCACGGAAATAATCAGGAAAGAAAAATCAAGGGAAAAACAAAATTATACTCACAATTGATTAGTAAAAATATATTTCTCTTATTTTGTGATTGCAGTTATTTTTCGTATGTCGAAAATTCATTAAAAATAATATATGTTTTTGCATGTGGTTGGCAGGCAAGAAGGGATAAGCAACAAAGGAGGAGGGAAAATTTTATTGTGTCTCATACAATTCACACTAGTTATATGAGACAACTTTCTTGTCTTATAGTTTTGTGGACCTAGATTTCTGTGGACCCACAAGTGTAAGATTGAGGTCCACAAATTTGTAAGACAAAAAGGAGTCTCATACAAACTATTGTAAGTTGTACGAAACACAAAATAAAACTTTCTCAGACAACAAAACAATGTTTGGCCATGTTGAGAATTGAATGGATGATCTGTTGACAAGTGTCGCCAAAAAGCATTTCATTGTTTACCACACAAGTAGTGGCAGGTATTGATTCAAATCTAACAAATGACACATCAGAGGGCATTAAGAAAAACACAATCTTTATCTGCAACTGCAAGTAGGAAATGACACCCCATTTTGAAAGCATAAAGGCTACCTTAAAACTAGTGGACACCAAACGACACTTACGTAGCGTCACGGAAAATTAATTGTGGGTCCCATCTTACTTTCATTGCTCCCGATTCCTCGCCAAAATTTTGAATTAATCGCTGCTTACGTTTCTCTGTCTCTGGGTAACACTCGTCTATAAAATGAAACTCATTTACAAAATTCACAAAAAATATTTTTATATTTAAAATAATTTAATATTAAACTTTAATTTTTATTATTAATGAAGTTATTTATAAAACAAAAATTATTTATAAATAATTTTAGACTATAAATTTTAAAAAATATTATTTTGAAACATCTTGTTCACTATTCTTTATCGGTATTTGTTTTTTTATCTTTACTGTTTTTGCTGTCAAAATTTTTTTTCTTCGATATTTCAACATATATTGTGTACTTTTATATTTTTAATCCTATTTTGAAAATGCTTTTCTCGAGTGGAAGGTCTCTCTACCTCACACAAGGTAGATGCAAGATTTCGTATATACTACTATTCTTAAACTTCACTTATGAAATCACACTGAATATATTATTGTTATTGTGTACAATGATCAATCAAATTTCCTAGGAGAAAGAAATATCTTGTAATTATGGTACCAAACAAATAAGACTACTAAATTAAGCTTGAAAAGGTGTCAAAAATAAAGAGTGCCTTTTTGAAGTCTATTTCAAAGTCTAAAAGACCCACCAACATCCGATTGATAGTTTGTTCGGCCTAGTTTAAAAAATCAGCTTATTGTTTTTTAAAAAAAAAATACTTTTAATGAGAAGCAGTTAGTGTTTGGCTAATTAATTTAAAAAGTACTCCTGAACAACAATTAATGTTTGGCTTCTACATTTATTTTTCATAAAAGTACTTTAAAAAAAAGTGTTTTCAGAGAGAAACTACATTTTTATACTTCTCCAAAATTGCATCTACTCAAAAGAACTTTTTTTCTCTAAAAGCCTGGCCAAATACTTCAACTTTGAAAAAAATATTTTTTGCCAAACAGGCTATAAATCGGCAAATACAAATAGTCTTGGATCTAGCGATTAATTGATCGGCTTCAATTGATTTGGCCAGGAGACAGTAGTCCCCACTCCCCGCCCAAAAATTACCCACCCACTCTGTACTCTCTATATTTCCTCCACAAAAACTCTTTTGAATCGTTTGAAACCATGAACTCAAGCTCTCCTTCCATGGCTAACAACAACTCAACACCTACCGACTCTTCTGGCAAAAAGGTTCGGAAACCTTACACCATAACTAAGTCTAGAGAAAGCTGGACTGAAGAAGAACACGACAAGTTCCTTGAAGCTCTTCAACTGTTATGTCTCTTCTCCCTTTTTTAGTTGTTTTAATTGTGAAGAAATGTGTGTTTGTACATATAATTGAGATATTTGTTGGTTTCTGAATTATATATACAGTATGTGGGATTACACTTAGTATGTTGTTGTTGTTGGTTTCTGAATTGTATTTACAGTATGTGGGATTACACTTAGTATGTTGGTTTCTGAATTATATATACAGTATGTGGGATTACACTTAGTATGTTGTTGTTGTTGGTTTCTGAATTGTATTTACGGTATGTGGGATTACACTTAGTATGTTGGTTTCTGAATTATATATACAGTATGTGGGATTACACTTAGTATGTTGTTGTTGTTGGTTTCTGAATTGTATTTACGGTATGTGGGATTACACTTAGTATGTTGGTTTCTGAATTATATATACAGTATGTGGGATTACACTTAGTATGTTGTTGTTGTTGGTTTCTGAATTGTATTTACGGTATGTGGGATTACACTTAGTATGTTGGTTTCTGAATTATATATACAGTATGTGGGATTACACTTAGTATGTTGTTGTTGTTGGTTTCTGAATTGTATTTACGGTGGAACAATTTTGTAATGGAATATTAGTTGATGCAGTGGTACTCTGCATCTAATAGTAATTCATAATTTTGGATCAGTCTCTATGTTGGCAGTATCAGAGGTTTGTGCTCAATTGAAGAATTTGCTGGGTAGATGTTTGGATGTTATTCCGGTGTTACAAAAAGCTTGAGTTGTTAGAAAGAGCACATTTTTATTTTATTTAATTTTGTTCTCAACATGAGGCAAGTATTTTTTCATCTTTTTTCTTTTCTTTTCTGCTATACGGGAAGAAACTAGAAAGCTGTATAATTGGCCTGTTCTAGTATTGATTTTGAATTTTATTTTGAAAGTTCCATTTTTGTAGTACTAATTTGGATATTTTATGGTCAGTTAGCTCCTTTGTGTTGCCTTTGTGACATGTGTGTACTGAATCTTAAAGCTGCATTAGAATTTTTTTTTTCTGAAGCTTTGGTGTTTCTTCTTCATTTGGGTTATTCAGGTTTGACCGTGATTGGAAGAAAATTGAGGATTTTGTAGGCTCAAAGACAGTAATTCAGGTGCTCACTTCGATTTCATCTTTCTGATGAAGTTCACAGAGAGAAATAGTTAGTTTTATTCTGTTTGTATTTTGTTTGTTCTGCTGAGACATCATGGTGGAGTATGCTGTATTTCTCCAATTAATTATTTGTAGTAATTTTCTGTGATTGACTTATTCCTAATCATGTACACGCCGGACGAGTACCAATTCTCTTTGGATCTGCTATCATGAAAATGCTAGTCAGGCTTTTGAATATACTTAATGTGTATTGTATGATGCCTGGTGCATTTGCAACCTTTCGCTTTTGGAGTTAATTCTTGGTGTATGACATGCGTTCGCAGGTACCTGGTGTAAAATGTAGGGCTGGCTTAATTTAATCCTGTTTAGATCCTCTATTCCATGGGAATTTATTTGAGCATGTGCTAATGTGCGAAATTTAAGTACTATTTTTTTAGGCCCTTTCTTTTGTTCGATTTAGAGAATTTTTCACAAATCTTTTTTTTTTTTGATAAGGTAAAGTTTTATTAGTAAAGTTACCAACAACTGCCAGAAAAAGATAACTTTTTATGAATTGCTTTCATCTATACAAGACATTTGCCTAATTTCTTGGTTGCAGATTCGCAGTCATGCTCAAAAGTACTTCTTGAAGGTCCAGAAGAATGGTACAACAGCACACGTGCCACCACCTCGGCCCAAGCGTAAAGCAGCTCATCCTTATCCCCAGAAGGCACCAAAAAATGGTTGGTTTGCACTTACAAAGTTGTCTTACGGCTCATTTGGTATATCTCTGTCTCATATAGTCTCTTGCTTTTTTCTTTGAACTACTTTGAGTAGTTTTAGTACCATTGCAAGCCTCTATGGGTTACCCTTCTTCAATGAATTCCCTTCCACCTGGATATCCATCATGGGATGACACTTCCGTACTCTTAAATTCTCCATCTGGCGGAACAATGCCATCACAAGATGAATACCATTTTCAAAGAATTCAGGGTGTGTAATTGTCTGTAAACATGGTATTTTTTTTCTGCATACATTATAAATCTTCTTCCTGATTGAATTTTCTGCACTTATTTCAATGTACACATTACTGATTCAGCTGATATTGGATCAAAGGGAGCTACATTGATTAGTAACAGCGGCATTAGAAGTTCCAGCAGAACGGCGCCGAGTTCTGAACTACCAGAGCAGAGCAAACTAGGTTCTGTTCCTCATGGTAAGGTTCTCTAGAATATTATTTTGAACTTAGCCCTACAACTCATTGTTTGAGGGAAACACTGTATGGTTTCCATACATTTAGGCTCTTCCGTCATGTTAGGCTTCTCTATTCAATATCTGCAGTATATAGCCTTTTCTTTCTTAGCTTTTATTTGGTACCACACATCATTTCCCAGTAGTATGCACAGCTAATCTTGTCATGGCTTATTTTCTTGCTCATGCCTGAAACATTACTTGTCTTTGATGTGTCGCCAGCTCAACCCAGAAAAGAACAATTTTCCATCCACATGCCAAATCCTAGTTCCAAAGGAAACTTGCAACTTTGATCCCACCGCTTGGTGCAATTCCATAATTTTGGCCTCGGCTTGTCCAACTTTGGAAATAAACTTTTCATCATGCAAATTTCATACTTAAGGTGAAATAATAGAAGGGATGGTTTTCAAGAAAAGGAAAAGTTCCTTTAAGGTTGCTTGTACAAAGCTTGCCAAAGGGGGACAAACTTTCTAGGTTAAAATGGTATTTCTGTTTTCTTTTGTCAGTTCGCTTTTGGTATTGAGAAAAACATCACTAACTTTCTAAATTAAAAGATAACTTTAGACACTAAGAAACAAAGTTATGTAATTTATCTTATAAGAAATTAGGTAGTTTAGGGGTAGCTAGAAATATAAGTTAATGTGTCTTCTCTTGCTCATATAAATTTCTGAATGCCAAACATCAGGACAAAGTTCATTTTATCAGTATAATTTCCATGTTGATGTTTATTTGCTCTATATTAAGTTTTGAGTGCCAATGAAATGTCAAATTCAATATAACAGTAGAATTTCCAGTTTTGAGTGCCAATGATGAAAGAAATTGTATTTGAGAAGCTTTCATCATTTTCAGATCATGAAATCATTGTATCACTTTTATATTGCTTGATTATGTGAGAAATCAATGATTTTGAATGTCCCTGGAGTCTATTGGAAATGAATTCGTGTTATTTGATTTTTTTTCTACCATATTTATTGATTCCACCTACTTTGCAGAAAGGAAAAGGATGGGGTGGGGTTATGGAGATATTGCGCTAATGGTTTTTTTTTCTTCCTTATATATTTTATGTCTTTCTTTTCATTTCTCTCTTTTGCATCTTCATCATGGAGGGAACTTTTGTTTCTCTAGGTCGATAGCGGTCGTACTTCTTTTGGTTTTAAATGTTTCGTCTGGATCAAATGGAAGTGTATAAAGTGTGTATTGGTACTTCCATTACAGGCATACCAGACTTTGCAGAAGTCTATAGCTTTATTGGGAGTGTCTTTGACCCAGACACTAAAGGTCATGTACAGAAGCTGAAGGAGATGGACCCTATTAACTTTGAAACTGTGAGTTTTGGATGCATGGTAAATTATGCATTTTACATTTGCTTCTGCTTCCTGAGAACTCTTCAGCTTTCCTGCAGCTAACTGTAACTTACTGAGTCAGGTTTATTCAATGTTTATGCTAGGTGAAGTTTGTAATATTATTTTTTCTGTGTTAATTGATTCCATTTTCTGTATTCCCTAGTTATTATTGGGTGGAACTCTTTAATTTAACTCGCCTCCAAGCAATAGAGGGAACAAATGGCAAAGGGTAAGATCGTCACAGAATTTAGTTTGGATGAATTTCATTTTTTTTAATTGAAACCCTTTTCTAAAGGAGCTGAAAGAATCAAAGAAGTAGAAAAATGTTGATCTCTCTGAAGAATACATGTAAATTCTCGTTAGGGAAGTTTTTATGTCAATTATGTTCAGCCAGATATCCGTTTCAAAATCTAGAGGCATATGTCAAGACACTGCATTTATCTGCACTTGCAGGGATTTGAAAGTTTCAGCTGGGGAGTTTTAGATGGGGGTCAATGTAAATTTCATCTGGGTCTCCTTTCCCCTCCCACCTTCCCTATTTTAATTTCTTCTATCTTGCCTTGAAGAAATCTAAATTGGTGGATTTGCAAATCATGTTCATCTGTTTTCTCTGGACTTGCAGGTTTTGTTGTTGATGCGAAATCTTACAATGAACTTGTCGAGCCCTGACTTTGAGCCCATTGTGAGTGTGCTCCTTTCACTATACGCTGAATAGCTACTTTTTATGCTAGATTTCTTGTTTCCTCTAAAGGCAAGCTTTCCTCTAAAGGCAAGCTTTTACATGAAGACGAGACGCTTTATTCATTTTCATAAAGCGAAAATGAACAGGTCTACCTGTTCAACATTGAATTAAGTGTTTAATACTTTAATTTGTGATGGGAAAGGCAAGACGAGAATAGAGTATATCTCAACCAGTTGTCTTCCTTGGTCTTGCTTAGGTGTTAACCAGATTATTTGTCCAATAAGGCGGCTATCATGCCTCAGTTCACTTCCTGGTTTATAAGTCCCAAACCTAAATATATCATTCACTATTACATTATATTGATTTGCTTGCAGTCTTCTTAATGTTAGTAAAGCACTTGAAATTCATTGGGTCCTGGGCTGTTGAGGCCCTATATGCATTTCACAGCTTTATTAACTTAGGCAAAAGCATTGGTCTTATAAGGAAATTGCTGTCATTATCTGTCAGCTTGTATCCAATACTAAATTTATGCGTCAGCACCAGTTACCTTGGCTGTGAGAGAACTTTGAAATTTTCCCTTCACATGATTCTGCAGCAATCTTGCTTTGCACCATTGTCCATTAGTTTTCAACATTGAATTATTAGGCCGCCTCCTGTTAAATTTGAGAGGCTAAAGATTTTTATCTTCCCATAAACAAAGTTTGATTTGGATTCTGACTTTGTGCAAGTATCTTATTGCTGTTCTACAGCTATTAAGCTACTGAAAGAACTAGTGGAGGTAGTTCAAATGGATGGAAAGCTTTTGATAAATGAATCACAGCGTATTGAGTAGTACTTGTAAATTCTTTCTCTATAATCTCGTTTTGTAGCCAAACAATCCTATAGCAATATTGGGGTTGAGGGCCAGCTCACTTGGTGAACATGCTTACCTCCAAGATGTAGGTGGAGGCATCAAAGCTTAGAAGTACCATACACTCCCCCTTTTGCCCATTGCCTTCCTCCTCCCACTCTGTATCAATGAAAGAATATGCTTCATTTAAAAGAAATGTTGTACCATGGTGCATTTGGAATACTTCGAGAAATATATTTCATCTATTCCAGAAAATCTCCTATTGGATATATCCCTAAATCGGTTTCTTTTTCAACCATCAAGGAAATCATGATGCTTTTGATGATAGGTTCAGGGTACAGTAAGCTTAGTAAGAATTCTGCTTATCTTTTTAGACGTACCCCCAGAGAAACTATACTTGAACTCTTAGCATTTTTGGTTTATGTACCGATCCTCATTCAAATCGAAATTGAGGGCAAGTTCCATGCACCTCCACGTTTTGAAAATCAGCATGCTCTGTCCACACGCTTCAAAAGAGAAAAGGCTCAAAAGGATATTGTTTTCAACCTAATGTACAACAAGAGAGACAGGTGATGAAAGATCACCGTAGAAAGGTAATAACTAATGATGATTTCAGGGTGCCTCAGCCTGTTAATGTGACAGGCTCTGTCGACTCCTCCTTGGATATTCACCAGCCTTTTCTTTATGTTATTCAAGGAGAACAGTGGCCTTGAAATACGAGGTCCACTAGATTGTAAATGGTTCACAAATTTGTTGAATTTTGCATTCTAGTTAGTCCTAAGGGTATACCTCTTTTCATCTCCTCCATCGGCATCATTTGGCTGAAGTACCAGGAGCCGTAGATATTGTTCTGGTCCCTAACCTTTTTTCTAGAGGTTCCCTCACGGAAGTTATTTCAAGTTTGTGATTACATTAACATGAATGCCGGAGCATAGTCATGGACCTTTTTTCTGGATGAATTGTGCAGTTTACACCAATTTACATTCTCTACCTTTTAAGTCCTTCATAACGCGCCTTCTGTTGCCATTTTTTGTGCAGAAAAATGTATTGTCAACATATGATCTCAGTACAAAAGTCGCGGGCCTTCCTACAGGTGGTGCTGTCAAGAACCACAATGATTTATCATGTCAGACAATATGATAAAAACAGTTATTGTTAGTATCTTTTCCTACTTCACTTTCCAAAAATTTCTTTTTATTCCTATGTCATACTAAGAGTTAATCCTCTTTTATCAGTATATTCGTCGGTGAGACTTTCTCCAACAACGGTGAGTCTATGCGCTCTTGCTTTCTAAGAGCTTGAAAAAATGTTCATCACTGGAAAAGTCTCAAGAGTCGTGTCATGGATAACAGCGTTACAGCATCTTCCCCTGGTTTCTCCTTGATGCTCAGTGGTCAAGGAGAATGTTCCTTTTAGAAGTTGAGCTTCTCCTAGTGAGAAGCGTGCCCAAGCCTTGATATCATGTGTTTTTACCCCTAAAATGTATATTCCCTCAATTTTGTGCAGCTTAATATTTGGAGGTGGTGTAAAACTTGTAGCTTTTAGAGCAATAATAAGGAGGAAAAAGTTCTTGTACCGCATTGCCTGTTGAAGTATGGATTTAGGAAATACACTCGGGCCGTGCTTTAGTTGGCCTTGTTGCAGATTAAAGTTAAAGCAGCAGTTCGTCTTTCTATTTGTTGTAAATTTGTTGTGTTTAGTATTGATAGTCTGTTTTACACTGTCTCTTTCCTCTTGTGCTGAGGGTCTACCGAAAACAGCCTCTTTACTCCTCCGGAGTAGGGGTAAGATCTGCGTACACACTACTCTCCCCAAACCCCACTCGTGGGACCTCGCTGGACTGTTGTTGTTGTTGTAGTCTGTTTCAGCTGCTAATAATTCTTGATATACTTGCTTTGTGTCCATCAGATTCTCTTGTGGACGTTGTGCAACAATGATAATTTATGCGTTATATTTGCATAGTGAATATCTATCACTTGGTCGCGCGAAATCAATGACTATGTGAATTGGTTATGAATTAGTCAATTCCACAAGAGCACCATGAAATTGGCATAGAAAGCAATTAAAGATAGGGAATTAGGGTTTAAAATATGGGAAATAACAAAAACTTTGCTATGAACTGGCTAACCGTTGAAATGCCAATAATAAACACTAATCAAAGATAATCAATAAGGAAGGATCAAATTAAGTTCTTACTGTAATTCATAAACCCCTAGTACCTATATTAACTGAAAAAACAAATTAACATTCAATTACATAAGATAATCCAAGGAGTAACGGAAAAGAACTCATACAAGAATACTTAACTATGAGTAATCCAATGGAGGTCTAAGAAGAGAACTAAGATAATCTTAAATTCACAAGAGTTGGTCTTCAATCCAAAACCATGCGTCTGGTGTGAAAATAGGGCAAGCTATTTGGCTGGTAATAACATCCAGTAGTCTCATTCTCATATACAAATCAGACACTGATAATATATAAATATGTATATTATACATTAATATATCAAAAACATATATTTACTGGCTATTATTTTATAGAGCCGTTATATTGTGCTGTTTTCCCTAAACAAAATTGTACATTTGTGCATTTTCTATTCACGTCTAATGTTTACACTAAAAATATACTTTACCATGCTTAAGTAACAAATGAGATAAAACTACATATTAATTAACTATAATTACATTATAAAATAGCATGCTAAAAGACACATATCATGTTACACTTATATTACTGTTGTCTGTTGTAAATTGAATCTTTCCTACTACTCAATCCTTATACATGTGTGTATAGGTGAACAAGAAATAATGGGCTTAAGCCCAATAACGCTCTGTGTTCGGCTTGGAGGGCTGACTGGCCCATTTCCAACCCAGCTCCTTAAAACTTAGCTCCTTCTAAGCTTCACTCTGCTCTACTCCTTTCCAGAAACCCTAGCATCCTCTCCCCTTCCCCTCAACCCCCAAAATCACCAATGGCCACCGCAGCCGCCATTCCGACCACCACCGTTCAATCATTTGAAAATGACATGGCCACTGACGGCAGTGCCGTTCCTCTCCCCGCCGTGATGAAAGCTCCGATCCGTCCCGATGTGGTCACTTACGTCCACGCCAACATCTCCAAAAACTCCAGACAACCTTACGCCGTCTCCAAAAAAGCCGGTCACCAAACCTCCGCCGAGTCATGGGGTACCGGTCGGGCCGTTTCACGTATCCCACGTGTTTCCGGTGGTGGAACCCATCGTGCTGGTCAAGCTGCTTTCGGTAACATGTGCCGTGGCGGTCGAATGTTCGCCCCGACCAAAATCTGGCGCCGTTGGCACCGAAAGATCCCCGTTAACCAAAAGCGTTACGCTGTTGCTTCAGCTATTGCTGCGTCTGCAGTACCCTCGCTGGTCCTTGCGCGTGGCCATCGTATCGAGTCAGTTCCTGAGCTCCCTCTTGTTGTTTCAGATTCAGTTGAGAGCATTGAAAAAACTTCTAATGCTATCAAAGCTTTAAAGCAAATCGGCGCTTATCCTGATGCTGAAAAAGCTAAGGAAAGTCACGCTATTCGCCCCGGAAAGGGTAAAATGCGTAACCGTAGGTACGTTTCTCGTAAAGGACCACTCATTGTGTATGGTACTGAAGGGGCTAAGTTAGTAAAAGCATTTCGTAACATTCCTGGTGTTGAAATTTGCCATGTGGAACGATTGAATTTACTAAAGCTTGCTCCTGGAGGTCATTTAGGAAGGTTTGTTGTGTGGACTAAATCAGCCTATGAGAAATTGGATGAGATTTATGGTTCGTTTGACAAGCCATCTGAGAAGAAGAAGGGATACGTGTTGCCTAGGGCGAAAATGGCGAATGCCGATATTGCTAGGATTATTAATTCTGATGAGGTGCAGTCTGTTGTGAGGCCTATTAAGAAGGATGTGAAGAGGGCCACATTGAAGAAGAATCCATTGAAGAATCTGAATGTGTTGCTGAAGCTTAATCCGTATGCGAAAACTGCTAGGAGAATGTCCCTTTTGGCTGAGGCCCAAAGGGTGAAGGCTAAGAAGGAGAAACTTGACAAGAAGAGACATCAAGTTACTAAGGTATATTCTTCAAGATCTGTGTAGTTTTAATCTTTGATTTACCTGATAAATGTTTTCGTGATAGTAGAAGAAAATGATTGCTTTTAACTCATGATTAGCTAGTAAATAGTAAAGAAAGTCTAGTCATATACGAAGAAAGGTAAAAATGTGTCTGTATTTTGCCGCATGATGGGGTTTCATTTATTGGGATAGAGTCTGATATTTGTTATCTCCTTACTGCTTGCAATCTTAATTTTCTTAACCTAATGTGGTGTGCTGGAAATAATGATGCTTTTGACACCTGCTATAGTTGATGGTTGGTTTGACTGCTTCTATATAATCTACTTATGTTGAGTGTTTTGTTATGCCATTAAAATCCAATCCTTTTCCCTCCCTCAGATTTTATATCACAAATATAAACTAAATTGTGTCTGGTAACCACTAGTGAAGCAAATAACTTCAGGAAATGAGTTGCTCCCTCTGTTCCACTTTATGTGATCGGAGTACAAGAGTCAAGCTGAATAATTTTTGGTGTGAAATTCGGACGTAGAATTTCCAATTTTGAAATAAAATCTACATATTTAGAAACTACGTAAAAGATACGCTAAGTCGCAAATAGTTAGTGATTAAGTATATATAGAAAATATTTATGAAAAATGTGGTCAAGGAATCTTCTTTAGCTCTCCAATGGTAATTGTCACATAAAGTGAAACAGAGGGAGTGGTTGTGAATTACAGCGTGATGGGTCAGTTGGCAAGAAGTTCTTAAGTTGTGGTGATGAGAAATGGTGTCCTGATTAATATGATAGAGTAGGGATATGTTTTGGTCTTATCCTGAGATGTGAACCATGTCACTTGAGGACATTTGGCCCTATTGATGACTTGTGGATAACATTGTGTTTTTTTGATAAAAACAGGATTAGTGTTAGGAACTCTCACTTTAGTTATTTCACCGTAGGTGAAAATGTCTTCAATGATGGTAAAAAGATCCCGACTCTTTCATAATTTTTGTGTTCAGAAAACAAAAAAGATTAAGTGGACAAACTTGTATGCACTTATTTCTGATTATCTTATACTTGAGAATAGTTGTATACTTGAGAATAGCTGTACTGTATTACTAACTCTGCTTTATTTATCACAGGAGGAGGCATCTGCTATCAGGTCTGCAAGCACAGCTTGGTACAAGACCATGATTTCAGATTCCGACTACACAGAGTTTGATGTTTTCACAAAGTGGCTTGGAGTTTCTCAGTGAAGGGATCTTTTTTGTTTTCAACACAAGCTTCTGTTCTTTTTACATTTGTAACTTTGGTTGTTCAAGACAAGAAACGGTAAGTGGGAGGAAATTGCATGCTCAAGTTACCTTAGGTTACTCTGAGAAGCTTCTCAGTGCCCACAGTTGGTGTCAGTTTTCTTTTCAGTTGGAGAATTTTGCTGAGGCATGGTATTGAATATTTTATAGAATAGCTTGTTATTGATGATATTTCTACACTGCTTGTCTGATCAATCGGTATGGTTTGTTCGCCTTCTCATGCTGATGCTGCAGTTCACTTGAAGATGATAATAAGATGTTTGTTAGTATTTGGTTTTTGTTGGTTTTGTCTATCTAAAGCTAACAAACATGACGGCAAACATAACCTTTTCTCCAAAAAAAGGAAAGAAAACTTTGATGGGCAGATAGTAATCATGCTACAAGAAAAGTGGTTTTCACTGTTATGTGCCAGAACATAACCTTACTTTTTGTAGCCAAAAAAATATAAGAAAACATAAGGATGGCAGTCGTCTGGTCACAAATTGTAGGATATGGCTATTGTTATCCTGATTGGCCAGTGGTAGCAATGTTGCATTGTTGCAACTTTGATGCTATAATTGTTGAATACAAATGAAGAATATGCTCCTCCTGCTACATTAAATGTGTGTTTTGAATGTTCTTGGTTTCAAATCAATGTTGTCATAACCTCCTCTCTGCCTGGCATCATTCTGGTAACTAACTGTAGCAAAGGCTGTTATTATCCTTATTTTGGCCAGTGTTTAAGCAATGTTGCATTGTTGCAATTCTTGCAACTTTGTTGTTACAACTCTTGGAGATAAGTGTGGCAGAAGAATATATTCCTTGTGCTACATAAATGTGGCTCTCACTGTTCTTGTTTTTACGATCGAATCAAAATGTACTACCTCAATGAAATAAGCAAATTGGTTAAAGCAATCTTATAGTTGACGAATTTAACATCAAGAAGTAAATGTCATGTGATTTAAAATTTAACTATCACTTAAGACTAATATGTGAATTATTAGATAACTATCAGTTGACTGTTGACGGATCACCAGGACTTGTAACAAGGCAAGTTTTGCCAATCAATCAGAAATTTTAACTTTTGTTAGGATTTTGCTGCCAAGTTTTGCCGCAAAGCTATTTTTGCACAACTTTTAGAACGTGGTCAAAACATTAACATTGTCATTAAAAGATATTGCAAATCATGGGGCAAGTGCATAGATAGCATTCTTTTATCCTGAAATTTTAAATTTGAAATTTTTACTGCAGGACAATTCAGGATATTTTCGTCCCGAAAATTTAAACTGAAAAATTGAAATTCGTGACGTAC